CAAACAAACAAACAAACAAACTCTTCCGCTTTATATAATAGTATATAAGATAATGGTATAAGATATAAGATTTGAATAAAAAAAACCAAAGTAAAATGTTTGACTTCAGCTCCTTTCAACGCTCATAACTCAGTCCAGACTGAGATTTCCATACATGAGCCCTATGGGCTCACTTTCATATATGTATATGGGGACAATTTCGTTTGTGATATCATTCCAGACAATATCTTCCATAAATCATCGACTGACGCCAGAAAAAAGAAAGGCACCAAATTTAGTCAATGCCCAAATGAGAACCGATAGCAAACCAAGGGCCCCTAGACAGAATTTGCTACAGGCCCCGCGCTGGCTTAATCCGGCACTGATTCCAGTGTGTTGTGATTAATCTCTCATTGAGCTCTCTTACCTAAGTCGGCTACATAAGGTCCTTTCCGGTAGGTAACAATTCTGCCACCAACTCTATCTCTCCCTTCAAGAATAACCACTTCACATCCAAATGACTGCAGTTGTCTCGCTGCAGCCAAACCAGACACTCCTGAAATAAGAATTTTAAACCTTATAGTGATGGCTAGTAGTAGTAGTTATGTTACAATGGGGTAGACGACTAATTTTTATTTTAATGTCCGTCTGGTAGATTATTTAAAAACATTAGACACGTATTTTTTATTTTCTTACGGAAACGAATAGTTTCGAAGATATATTGATTTAAAATGTCGCGTGACGTCACTTCTCAGTACATTTTATACTAAGGAATGACGTTTTAGCCCTCACTCCTAAACTTTGATTCGTTTTATCTAAGTATTGTTTTATTATACCACAAAATAAAAAAATACGTGTCTAATATTTTTTTATTACCTAAGTTAAGGACTAATTATATTTTTAATTTTCATACCCTGTCATCATCCCCATTGTTAAATAGTTTCTTATGTTGTGTACTTCACCAACACAATTTCTATAATGTAGCCACATAGCTTGCTGTGGTTTAATGAGAAGAGCTGAAGTCCCAAAGATTAAACTCGGCATGATATTGCACAGGTCTTAAACCTTATAGTAATGGATATGGTAAAACTTTGAAATAGTTTCTTGTGTTGTGTATGTGAACTTCAGCAACACAATTACAAATCATATATATTGTAGTCACATAGCAGGGTGTGGTTGGATGAGAAGAGCTGAAGTCCTGAAGATTAAACTCAGCATGCTATTGGACAGGTCGGGTTGGTGTAAATAGGCTGATAGTAATGACTATACAGGAGCTTAAAATGTGTCTTTCATATATTAAAAGTCCATACCTGCACCAATAATAATGACTTTTGGTCTCTGTTTTCCTTTTGGTGGGGTTGGAATAGGAGTAGTTCGCTCATAGATACCATAGTTTATAAAACCATGTCTCTCCAAAAATGCATGAGTTCTCATTACTAGAGCTGGATCACCATTGTATGGAGGCTTTAAAGTGAAAAATAAATGGATAAGTAAGACACAACTTACTGATCTAATAAGAAAACACTATATACCCTGTGATAATAAGTGCTCATTAATAAGTTGATATCATCATATACAGTATGTTAGGTTAAACGAGGGACATATTCAAACCCATAATAGTGTATACTCACATGAACCTAACAAACATATAAACGAAACGAAAACACTAATAAATAACAGACAGTACCAAAAAAACGCTTCCGCTTACGCTTACGGGTTTCGGCTTAGCGGGCTTAAGCGCGCTCTATTCTTTTTGGCAAGATCGGCGCATGATTTGCAACGCGAGTTACTTTATGTAAGTACTGTTTCTGTTTACAAGTTCACTTGTTGCGCGCTCAGTGTTTATGATGATGTATTTTATTAGACAATTACCTCAAAAATTTTGGTTATAGGTATTTTACATATTCGGGACGAGAATCGAATACTGAATACCCTCCCTCAATAAGTCCCTCGTTTAACCTAACACACTGTATAAATTTTTTTTCAAAGAAACATAGTCTCCAAACATTGGAAGTAAGGTCTATAATGGAGTTAGAGGAGAGCTGTCACCGTAACCGCTTGGAGAATGAATAATTTATGAAGTTATAGAAATATAGTGCATGTAGTGGAATGTTATTTATTATTTTATTCTATTTACTTGCGTTTACTTGTATTGCTCATTTCAATAATACATAATACCATTGAAATAACTAAAAGAGAAATATAGGTTTTGTATACTACAAAACTTACTTCCATTTTCTGCACAGCCAATTCCTGAGTCAACTGCTTCTTAGGATCCTCAAACCAAAGCTTTAAAATCCTGTTTCTTATTTGAACAAATGCATGGCTCGAAGGTCCTAGTAAATCAGAGAAACACTCTGCTTCTAGAGATGACATCTTGTCAAATGGCAACCGTGATTGAAATGCTGCTCCTTCAAGGCTGTAAATTTATTATTGTAACTTTGATGAATTGATAAACTTTCATAAAGGGATAGACTTCAAGCAAACGGCACTATAGTAATGATAGGTTCTATGGATCCATGGAAGGTATCATTAACAGAATATATATAGAGACTAAAAACTTTGTAATATAGAAATCGATGATTGTGTGTACCTGTTAAGCATTTCTTTATAATTAATTTCCTCAATATCATCATTCTTAGAATCATCCGTTTTTGATTCGTCCTTTTTATCCTTCGCATCTTTACCATCGGTGTTACGGCTTGAAGACGACTCCCTTCGACCTCCGACCGAAGTAGGACTTGACGATGTAATCTTACTCTTTTCCGACTGATCAGATTCAGAATCATCTTGTTTTAATTTTTCATCAAGTTCCCGGGTTTCTACCTACGATCGATAAACATAACCTAGTCATCAAAACAAATAAATATACACAACTCCAGCAATATATTTGCAAGTCTATAACAGCAACAAACCTTTGCGCGTTTTCTGCGACTCATTTTTGCTATAAATTGTTAAAGAATTGATCGTAAATTATAGAAAAACTAAGATTGAGAGACTTCAAAACAAAATAAACGAAGGACTGACAACAATGACAGTGACACTACTGACAAACTGACTGACATTAACAACAACAAAGTGAGTATGACAGTTGACTTCTTTAAATAATGAAATGTAACACCGTGCATTTTAATTTAACCAATAAAGGGGTAGTCAAAAGTGCACCTAAGGATGTCATACCCTACCACTCTACAATAGCAATCCTAGAGTAAGATGGCTGCACTCACGGGGGCACCAATTAAAAGTAAGACACATTTTCATAAGTTATGTTATGAGTTCTATGTAAAAGGAAGTTTTTATGAAGTTTTCAAATTATATGAAATTTCAACTTCCAGAGCACAACTGATTCTGGACATATCATAACTTCCTGCATTGATTTGTAATTCTAAAACTGTAGAATCTTGAAATTTCCTGAATTTCAAAAACCAGACCTGATTAGAGTATTGAATTTCATGAAACTTTTTATTAGTGATTAAGTAACTCAAGTAAATGAAACTATTGAATTTTGTGGTCAAAGGGTTTGTTTTATTATTTAATAAGATACATCTTTTATAAATTTTGTGAAGTAACTAACAAAATGTATTTTAAGTTTAAAAGGATTTTCTAAAGTGATTGTACAAAGGGCCTTCTTCGGCGTATCCAGCAACTTCTTGAGGAATTATGGAACTTTCATCGATGCTACCGCAGGGACGGCACATACATTCCAAAGGAGCTTTTGTTGTGATCTGCAAAGACAATTAGCTTTAACTCATCGAATACCGGTTTTGTAGACACAATTATAGAACAATAGGTTGCGGTCACCGGTGACCGCTTGGTATTTGACAGTTTAAAAACAAATTAAATAATAAGCGCTTATATTGCTCGTTGTTAAAATGAAATTGCCTGAATAATGGCAACAGGTTTCACTACATCGTAGATAGGAAAGATTGTAGATTATCCGGAGAAAAATAAATAAACGTTTGATTGTATTACATTCTCTTCAAGCGCTCCTTTTGAGATTAAGGCGTACGTAATGTTTCCTTTTTGAAAACATAGTAGGTACCTGTTTTAACAATTAATTTATTTTGCTGCTACATTACCTTTCTTAATTTCCTGTCCTCGCTCTTTGCCTTAGGGCACAACAAAACAACGGTGGCCTCTCGTTCACCAGATTCTTGACAGCAATTACACGTGCGTTCCATTTGCCAGATTTTGCTTCCAGATACCTATAAACATAGAATATTATATCGTATTCAATTAGCAGAAAATTTTATTTTTATCCACACATTCTTTTCTTTTTGGTACTTACCTGTACATAACTCGAACACTTGCCAATACAAGCGAAGGACGGTATCGCTTTAGGAATACATCCAGGGTGTTTAAGGATATGAATAACAGGTGTCATTTGACACTCTTGTCCTACAAACAAAAATGATTAATAACCGGCGTAAATAGTCATATGGATTATTACTGTTGTATGCGAACACATTAGCGCAAAAATTGTTTACCTGGAGGTAGTTGCACTTCTACTGATTGGGCCCTTACAGGTCTATCATTCATTTGAACAGCCGACAAAAATACTAGACTTAAAGAAATTATGTCAAAACGGAACATTTTGCTGTATCTAAATTGAATGATCAACTGTTAGTTCGTCCTAATCCTTTGATAGGCGAAACTGTTGTATGAACTATCGGATAATCCCATCAGTATATAAAGGCACCATGCATTAGTAGAAAACTCATACCCTAGTAACGCGACATGAAACTTATTTTAGTGAGAACAACTTCGAACATGTGGACTCACAGCGCTGACAAGGTTTAATCGATCTTTAATGGCTACTCAGCGGGGACTATAAATATTGCTTTGTGATATTTAACTAAATAAAATAAGAAGACAATATATTTAAATTTGAAGAAAAAAATGGTTCAAGTTGATGATTGTAATGAACGGTCAGTGATCTCTAACTAGAAGCCACGTTTAATGACTACATGACCACTTAGTCAAAGGGACTTCACTCTTTCATAAAATATTTTATTAAACTAACAGAAACTTATAAACCAATACCTACATCAAATCTATGTTACTTTTTCACCGTTGTCGATAAAAAGACAATTTTAATAGATGTATTGCAGATACGGTGTTTCGAATAAGTCGAGTTATAAAAGGATGCCTGATCGAAGAAAACAACTTTTCCTTTAGTAATTTTCAATACTATTACAGGGTGTGGAATTCTGTAGGGTGGTTAGCAATGTTTAAATTGATGACGCGAAAGAGGTCTGTAGGAATAATAGTAATTGGCGTTCCATAGTCTCTGCCTACCATCATGGGAAACAGGCGTGACGGTTATGTATGTGTAAAACAACGCTTGCGATGTGTTTCGTCGTGTGAGTGAGGTTACCGGAAGCCCAATTACCCCCCTCCCTAGTCCCCGTCTCCCGAATCCCCGAATCCTCCACAATCTTCAAATTCCCAATTCCCAAAAGGCCGGTAACGCACTTGTAACGCCTTGGTGTTTCGAGTGTCCATGGGCGGCGCCGATTGCTTACTATCAGGTGATCCGTATGCTCGTTTACCGGCTTATGCTTTAAAAAAAAATCGAAATTTTCAGTAGTTAGACGGAGTCTGGTAGTACCCATTACATGGCAATAAGCTCACCACCTATATTTTTTTAAGGGTGGAAAATCATCGAATATCTGCTCCCGCCTGGGTGAGGCGGAAGGGAGTGTCAGATTCTTACTGACTAAAAACCACCCCGTTCCTTCGCCTGCACGTCGAGCCGGAGCCCCGGTAACCCCCTATATATGTAGATCTGATAAGTTTGAAATGTTGTAGTATTATTCTTTAATATTTAAATTAGTTGAACAGGGAGAAGAGAGGCTAAAACATCTTATTTGCACCTTTGCCTACCCTTTTTTTTTTAGGGGGGAAATCATCCAATGTCTTCATTATCCCGCCCGGTTGAGGCAAGAGGGAGTGTGACTAAAAACCACCCAGTTCATACTTCTGCACTTCAAGCCGGAGCCCCGGCAACTCGTTAAGTCCTCCGCGGCTTCGTATCGGCATCAACCCTATTGAGCCCCATCTGTAGTGGTCTGATGGCTCATAAAGGCGCGCACGGAACGCGACGCGCATACGCTCGGGTCTCGAGTCACCCGTGTTCGCTGTCCATAGACCCGGCCTTACGGTGGCTGGAAATCGTCTCGCGGTCTTTGCCTACCTTGCCTACTTCTTCTTGGTGTAAAGCAAATCCCACCAAAAACATTCTGTAGAAAACTAGCCAAGTCTCGATGGAGTTGCTAGTTTATCTCTAAAAAGTAATGAAATATAAAACAAAGTCGTGCCAAGTCTAAGGTTCCTTATTGCGATTTCGTTATTATTACAGTTAATGTTGTGTAAATTTGCCGTTGAAGGGTACACAAGGATAGAAAACCAGATGCTTCATGACACCATTCCACTAATATGTCGCCAGAACCTCTATCCAATGACGATGGAAATTTGCCATTTGGAAAATGTGGTGTTATCCTTCAACGGCCAAGTCCTAACCTGTTTATTTAATTTAAAATCTGTTTAGCTCCAAATCTAGAGTAACTGGTAATCTTGATAGTTTTCCATTTATATGGCCATGAAACCCTAACTCTTTACCAAATTTCCGCTCTCTGAGATTATGGAAAGTACTAGTTCTATTTTGATGATCATGAGTGAGTGAGTGAGTGTCATAAATGCGAAACTTTGTTTTCGCTTAACTTCGTAACTAAATGACCTGTACACTTGAAATTTTGGATTTTAAGTATGTTATTATAGCTTACTGGATGACGAAAATTTCTGCGTTCGCGTTCTGGTCTTATCCAGAGGTTCTCAAATAAGAGTATGAAAATGCGGCGAAATGGTTCCATTAAAGGATGGTACGGCAATGTTTGCTTCGCGCTCGACTTGGCGGGGTCACTGCCGTGCCCCCAGATGTTATAGATATATAGATGAAAAGTGAGGGTACTTAAATTTTTTTCCTATTTGACTCGTAGTAGGTAGCTAGTAGTAGTGATATATCAATCAACATTAACATATAACTGTCGCACTAGAAGATAAGGGCCTTCTGCCCAATCCCTAAGCGGTCACCAGTGACCGCTCTCCATTTACTCCATTATAGACCTTAATTCCGATGTTAAGAGACTACTTTTGTATGAACAAAGGTTGTGGATCTATAAATTTTGTTGTGATGGGATCCAAAGAATTTTTTTTTACAAATCATTATCCTATTTTCTAATTCTTTTTAAAAGATTTAATTTTTATTATAAAAGCGAGTACCCAATAAGTATGAACCTACGCATTTTTTACAGGGTAGTTAAGAAGGGCAGGCATATCAGCCAGCAGATATTTTAGATGAACTTGCTAAACATACGCTGAAAATTCTAGTCACTAGTCACTACGCTGAAAATTGGGTCATCTAAAGTTACAAAATGTGCAACTGTTTAGTACTTGTAAAGGTAGAGACGACCATCAGCATTTATAGCAAAGGCGATGACTGAGAATTATATAAGCCTGTGTCTCAGACAACATGTAAATGAATTCTTTATTATTAAAAAAGTTAAATAATAAAAATAATTTAGATATACAACAGTTGAAAACTCACAAAACACTGACGTGATGTATTCATAACTAAATGTATCGATATTTTAAAATTATTACTGAATGTTAGACTGAAACAGGTGGCTTAAAGGCAATCCTGCCTTTGTGAAAAAAAATGTTCGAATAACTTCTTCAAAATATTTTATTTCAACATTGTATCAATCATAGGTAACTTAAGGATAGGTTAAATAATTTATTACAAAATACACAGGCACGGATTAACTTAAAACTAAGTTTGACACTTAATTTATAAAGCCTACTTATTAGTTTAAAAAACCCTTGACCATTTTATTTCATTAGACTTACAAATATATAATTAAAATCAGAATACATAATATAATAGGTTTTTCGATAGTCCTCACAAAAAATGGGCCCTTATGCAGTTACATCGTAAAATACAATACTATATACATTTTAACGGCTATAATC